TCCATAAAACATGTTTTATTTTATCGGCGGCTTGGTTCACTCCCTTTATATCAATAGCGTCCCTTGTTCGGGAATAAAATAAAATGGGGACTTCCCTCTGTGCACCTGTTTGAACTGTAGTCAGTTCTATTGAACGTCCGTAGTCTGAGGACGTAGTGATGAGTCTAGAATCAAATATGGAAATGTTTTGTAATCCAGGTTGACTAGACAATGGTGTGAGATAGATGGCGCACGTTTGTCTTAACCTGAAGAATGCTTGGTGAAAAGTTTACAACTTTCCAATGGCCATTCCTGCATGCGAAAGTAGTTTGATTTTAATTGATCTCCGTGCGTCATTTTTATAGTCCATGACGTCACAGTCTGCAGACAACAGACGGTTGTGGTTTAAGACAGTTACAGTATGACGTCATCCTGGCCTTTGACAGGCGGCATTTTCCTCCTGCCGAGTTTATCGAAGATGAATGCTGTATGTTTTTTAATAGTTCCACCAAATGTTAAAGATCGAAACTTTCTTCTTATACCATGAAAATGGTTTCAGACGTTGCGCGAACCAACACTCTGGACCTCACGTGAGATAAGTTAATCTTGAAGTAGCCAGAGCGACGCCTGGCTGGAACCGCTAGTAGACTATAAAATAGACACTCGTCAACTCTCAGTGACGCAATCGTGTTGCGACTGTATGAAAATGATTCAGCTACTGTAACGCTGGGTTACACCGGGTCAACATCAAACATAACACGTGCACTAGGTGACCCTCCACAGACACGTCATGACGTCACAAGGTCCATCAGCCAATCATAAACCACCTAATGACGTCACAGACACATTTGATTACGTTTAACGCCAACCATCCCGGGGGTAAAGCAGTGCAAAAAACCCTAACCATTGAAGACACAGAAGTTAACAAAACTTATATTTGCGATCACTCTCACCGACGGTTCGCGCCTCTCAAATTTCACAGACGTCTTTTACCGGCGCCGTCTGCTCCAAGATGGCGGGCCAGACGATCTGCTGAAAGAGGTGGCCCATTCTCGGCCCATTCTCGGCCGACACTGCTCGTGTCAGGCCAACACCCGAGCCTCTTATTGACACACGCGAGAGCCAACAGAGAGGAAGTGTATGCAAAGATAATTGGAACAAGTCCGGCACTTTCGTCCGGCACTTTCGTCCGGCAGGCTCGGCTGCAACTCTCGGGTTTCACCGGCAAGCCGGCACACATGTAGCAAGTTTTCAGTTTTCAAAGGTTCAACTTTTGTTTTCAACTTTTCAACTTGTCAACGTTTTTCAATTTAATTTTGTCAACTTTCTTTTTCAACTTTCAAATGTTCACCTTGTCAATAGATGGTCTAGCGTTATAACGTCACTGCTATCTCTCATTATGTTTAATTTGTCAATTTTTTCTTCTTATCTAGTAACATAAAAATCCTTTTTTGCGCCTACGTTCATATTAAAGAGTGCCATAAACTATGGATACCGTGTGCTACTATAATAATTGATTCTAGTAGCCAGTATGTTGTGTGGACACACGGTGAACGAAAAAAAAAGTCACAGGAAAAAAAAATAGAAAAAAGTCACTAAAGGAAAAATGTCATAGGAAAAAAGTTACAGAAACAAAGTCACAGGAAAAAAGTTACAGAAATCTTTTAAGAAATATTCTTTTATTTAATTTTTGTGTATTGTTAAATTTTCAGTGTTTATTTATGTGGGTGGGTTTTTTTTTGTAGCATATTTGCAAACTTTAAAGCATTATGGTTTAAAACAACAATACAAATTTTGCTACATATTTAGCTAAATACGAGGTAGTAAAAAATAATTATCAAGGACATTTAGGCACATCATTGTGTTTTGCATTTCCTTTGTCGGCCTAATCCGTCCATATTGTGTGTTGTTGACCTTTTGCGTCAATGACAGTCTTTATACCGTGTCGGCTTTTTGTTTTGATCCTATGCATTGTAAATGTGCTCAGAAAATGTGGTTGAACTGTTGATGCGATGAGTCGAGTGCAGCAAGTCAGATTATTTATGTTTTATTCCACCTCAGGCTAATTTAAAGTTAGTGTGTAAAACAACACGATGAAAACCAAGAACGTCAGAACATTGTATCAAATTCTATTAAATATTACTTATAGGCCTATAACGGAATTAAAACCTACGTACTTCATACAAAATATTTTTTAATAAATATTACTATGCGCATACAACCTACACATATATTACATTTAATTAATCGTAAGTTGATTTGCACTTTCTAAATATTTAATACATAAAAGTAATAACACATTTCATACAAATATATATTTGTGATTTTTTTCCTGTGACTTTTTTTCCCTGTGACATTTTTTCCTGTGACTTTTTTTTTTCCTACAATCGGACAAACCTGGTCACAACAAGAGATATAGCACTGGCACTGTTTACATTTAAATAACTCAGTTTTAGAAAACAAGTTGACTAAAAATACACGATTGGAAACGCATTGATGAAATCATTTAAATGTTGCGTCAGCCTATCTTCTCAGACTGCAGCAACGCGCGCGACATGTACGCACGTATTTTCTATAAAAATTGAAATTCAGCTCTTTGAAGGAGGACTATGCAAGGTCACGTGTACTCTGTGGGTGTTTCCACCTGTAGAAGAGCCAGACAGGTAGACCCGTGTCTTAACATGTCGTGTCAGCAACAGATTAGCCAATCACCTGGCCATCTGCCCACCACACCTGTAAACCGATACACGATGACACGGTCATTAAGTTTAACCGATACATAATGATATGGGTCATTAAGTTTAAACGTTGTACACAAAAGCCAGAGATAAGATTTAAACGGCACGCCATTCTCTACAGAAACATGTACACACATACACACACACACACACACACACACACACACACATATATATATATATATATATATATATATATATATATATATATATATATATATATATATATATATATATATATATATATATATATATATATACGAAGTGTCGATGAAAAATCCACACTTGCAAGTCAAGTGGAAGAAAATCCCACACTTTCAAATGGACGGCCCAGAATAGATCACTCTCCTGTTACCTGATACTGCACAATAAACTTCGATACAATCTGCTGAATTCGATTACATTAGGTACATGTTACAGTCGCTATTCGATTCCTTGCCTTGGGAGAAAAGATGTAATCGGATACGGGTGTTTCGGATTGGCCCCAATAAATCAGCCCCGACAGCCGAGGCGGACGATTGAGATCTACTTTCAGACTCGAGACAAAGACGTGCTGCCAGACTTGATACTTGTGGGCTAGAGGTGAGGGCCTTCCATGGTGGTACACCTGCTGGTGTCTGTGGTGGTGTTAGTGGTGGTGTCAGTGGTGGTGTTAGTGGTGGTGTCAGTAGGGGTGTCAGTGGTGGTGTTAGCGGTGGTGTCGGTGGTTTATGTGGTGGTGTTAGCGGTGGTGACAGTGGTGGTGTCTGTGGTGGTGTCAGTGATGGTGTTAGCGGTTTATGTGGTGGTGTCAGTGGTGGTGTCAGTGGTTGATGTTGTGGTGTCAGTGATGGTGTCAGTGATGGTGTCAGTGGTGGTGTCAGTGGTTATTGTGGTGGTGTTAGCGGTGTTAGCTGTGGTGCTTGTGATTTATGAGGTGGTGTCAGTGGCTGATGTGGTGGTGACAGTGGTTCATACAAATGATTGGCTAGCTAATCTTGTCACGATGCAGACAGCAAGCAAATGATTGGCTAGCTGATTTCCGCCGATAATGATCCAGTTATTTCTCGCGTTTTTAGCGAGATTGTTTTTTTCGTTAAGCGGTATACGTTTTTTTGTTAATTCACACGTTTGTTTGTAGGCTTGTCAAATCTTGTAACTCAGTCACAACCCGCTTTTAGTGTAACTATTTTGTTTGTAGGCTTGTGAAATCTTGTAACTCAGTCACAACCCGCTTTTAGTGTAGCTATTTTGTTCAAACTTTAAATATACAATCATCTCCAATGACAACGCAATAATGTCTGATTTTTAATATAATTGACATTAAAATTTAATTAAACGGCTACTGAATGCAAAAAATAAATGGGGATATAGCAAGATTAAAATATACCCGGAAATTTAAAAGCTTCGAAAAAAAGTCTGAAAGAAACATTGCTTGCTTTATAAAACAATATTTGCTAAAACGTGCAAGAGATCCCTTGAGCTACAAATGCTTTTACTATTAAAATAAAATAAAAAACCAGTTCGTTTTAATTTTCTTATTTTCAAAGCTATATGAAGTTTATTATTTTAAAGTTTCTTAATATTTGTTTTAGTTCGGTTTTCTTCTATTTTACCCTCAGAACTAGACACACTTAATTTTTATCTTTGTCAGTTTTGAAAACTGATTCATATTAGTCATAAGTGACAAATAACAATATTATCCCTATAGCAACAGTATATTTTAAAATGATCCTAGAAAAATTAAAATGAATGTAAAGTATATTTGGCGAATAAAAACAAAAATTCTTAAATAGCTAACGTACTAACATGACGTGCTCTTATATCGTGACCACGTATTTTAAGTAATGTTAACTTTGTTAACGATTTCATTAAATGTAGATTATCTCATTGGTTGATGACATTTTTACCTCAATATAAAATATGTGAGATCTTGATTTTATCATTTTTTTCACTTTCGGTAAAGACCGACAACTGTTATAAGATGTGAGCAATATTTGAACACATTTGGTTTCCACTTACTGCATCGCACTTTGTTAATGGTTTATAAATTATACTTTAGTCAATGGTCTAAAAATTATTGGTCTAAAAATTATAATTTTTTAATGGTCTAAAAATTATATTTTTGTTATTGGTTTAAAAATTATACTTTTGTTAATGGTCTAAAAATTATACTTTTGCTAAACGTCTGCTATAAGTTGTGTGAGATGTTGGCTGACGTCTGCTATAAGTTATGTTCTCTGATTTAAGTTACTGAATCAAACATCACAGATGAAAGAAAAAAAATGTAAACAAACTAAAGAGAGAAAAGTCGCACACGTTTATTAACAAAATCACAACACATCAGGGACCATTGCAAGCTGACATAGAAGGGGGTCACATGTTGACTGGTCGGTCCGTGTTTAAATACAATGGTAGCACTGACCTCTTGGTGACCTGACTACAGGGACCTCTAGGTGACCTGACGATAGGGACCTCTTGGTGACCTGACGACAAGGACCTCTTGGTGACCTGACGACAAGGACCTCTAGGTGACCTGACGACAGGGACCTCTTGGTGACCTGACTACAGGGACCTCTTGGTGACCTGACGACAAGGACCTCTTGGTGACCTGACTACAGGGACCTCTTGGTGACCTGACTACAGGGACCTCTAGGTGACCTGACTACAGGGACCTCTTGGTGACCTGACGACAAGGACCTCTTGGTGACCTGACTACAGGGACCTCTTGGTGACCTGACTACAAGGACCTCTTGGTGACCTGACTACAGGGACCTCTTGGTGACCTCAAAACGGGGACTGTTACAGGTAGATAGCAATGGGGATTTCATAAGAGGGACCTCGCGAGTATCATTAGGTCGGCGATAGGGTCAGCAAAGGTCACGAGGTCGGCGATAGGTTCAGCAAAGGTCACGAGGTCGGCGATAGGGTCAGCAAAGGTCACGAGGTCAGCGATAGGTTCAGTAAAGGTCACGAGGTCGGCGATAGGTTCAGCAAAGGTCACGAGGTCGGCGATAGGGTCAGCAAAGGTCACGAGGTCAGCGATAGGTTCAGTAAAGGTCACGAGGTCAGCGATAGGGTCAGCAAAGGTCACAAGGTCGGCGATAGGGTCAGCTACAGGAGCTATTAGCTACACACATGGCGCCACCTATGTGGGCGTGGCTAAAACATTGGTCGTTACGTAACAATATTTACACTGTAAACAACTGTACACAATGTGGATACATCAAACGTGTCACGCGTGACAGCGTGATTGTCTAACATGAAGCTAATCCCGCATAAATTAAATGTCAAGGTCAATCAATAAAAACAAACAGGTAGGAGAAGGTGAAACCGTTTCACATTATGTCAGAGCTAGAGTTGTCTTACAACTTGAGAACACAAGGTTAGAGTCTCCACTTCCGGCTTGACACTAACCACGAGAGGTGACGTCACCAACCACGAGAGGTGACGTCACTAACCACGAGAGGTGACGTCACTAACCACGGTCACTAACCACGAGAGGTGACGTCACTAACCACGAGAGGTGACGTCACTAACCACGAGAGGTGACGTCACGGTGTTCAGGTGAGTGGTGGTTGTGCTCAGTAGACCGTGACAAAACACCTACGAGTAGAAGAGGGACACGACAATTTGCTGGCTTTCTTACTCCTGGCTGCCCACGTTTGTCGAGGTCAGGGGTCAGCCAATGTCCTATGGAGATGACCAACAGATTGGTCCTGCAGGGGCGAGAATCTAATCCCCGATACAGCCGGCAGTTTTGTCCCCTGTCTGCGAGTAGGGCTTGGAAGGGCAGCAGGAACAGCCTACGGTGTAGTGCAGAGTTTTGTTGGCGGTGCTCAGGGCTCCGTACCCGTAGCTGGAGCCCAGGGCCAGGCTCGGGAGCAGGGGCGGGTAGGGGATGGCCAGCGCCGCCATGGGGCTGGAGCGGGCGCCCGGGCCGTAGGTGTACCGGATGGAGTTGAGGTGGGCGGTGGGAGGGGAGCTGATGGGGGAGAAGGCTGACTTGAAAGCCGGCGTCCCGAGGGTGGGGGGTAGGTAGGACTGGGGGAAGAATCCGGAGCTCGAGAGCCCGACGTGACTGACGGCTAAAGCGTTGAGAGCCGCCCCGACTCCCATGGAGCTGAGCGGCATGCTGACCGGCACGTTTCCGGCTTCCGTGTGGTGGTTGTTGAGGACCTGCTCGATGGCCTGCACCATGTCGTCATGGCAACCCTGAAGGATGAGCTGCAGCACGCCGCGCTTCATGTGCGGGAAGACCCGGCACAGCATGTCCAGCGGCGAGCGCTTGCTGCCGGCCAGCATGGCCTCCTCCAGGGCCAGGGCCGGGCTGAAGAGCTCCACCTTGCTGGACGGAGGGGTCAGTCTCTGCTCGCTGGTGGGCGGGGCCGAGCGGTAGGTGAAGCTCGGCTCGTGCATCAGCTTGGGTGAGTAGCTCTCTGTGTGCGGGGTCGGTGACCTGGCCAAAGGTGAGTCCTGGTCTTTGGCTGACCTACTTCTCGGAGACTCGGTGCCAGCGGGAGACGAGGGTTCGGATCCCGGCTGCTCTTCGCTATCTGTGTCTAGACGCGACCTTTTCCCACCTGTTGGAACAAAAAAAAATGTTCTTGAACAATTTTGAAAAGAACATGTCAACAGATGGAGTTACAAGAAAACAAACCTTAAAAAAACAAGTTAATTAAAAAGTCTAGTGACATTTAAGCGCAATTTCCTTATGTTGTCTAAAAATAGCTCTGTCGTAGCGTAAATCAAGAGCAGGGTTAGTAAAACCATTGGTTAGTTATTAAAACGTTTTTTTATTAATTTTTTTTTCAGTATTTTACATGTTTTATTTACAATAGAGTTATATGACTAAAAACCATTGCGCGCCTACTGAACGTGATGACGCAGCCATTGAACGTGATGGCGCAGCTATTGAACGTGATGACGCGTGTGGTGTGGTTGCATAAAATGCCTACTAATTCGGTCCAAATTTTAATTAATTCAAAAAAATGTTTGTGACCAAACGAAAGGATATTTTTGAAAACTTTCTTCGGCAATATTGTTCTAAATTATAGCAGGAATCGATTGGTACATGTTTCAAGTCGCTAAGTGGTCTGGTTGCCGAGATATGGGCCAAAAACTGCTTTTTTTCGATTTTTTTTTTTTTGGCTTTTCCGGAAAATCCATGAAAGAAACCCGGAATTTTTATGGCCTATGTTTATCCTCGTAACTTGCTTAACATAATTGCTTTTGGAACTAGTCATCGATATTGCTTCGTTGAGGAGGAGATACGACTTAAAGCTGCGGACACACATCCATCCATCCATCCATCCATCCATCCATCCATCCATCCATCCATCCATCCATCCATCCATCCATCCATCCATCCATCCATCCATCCATCCATCCATCCATCCATCCATCCATCCATCCATCCATCCATCCATCCATCCATCCATCCATCCATCCATCCATCCATCCATCCATCCATCCATCCATCCATCCATCCATCCATCCATCCATCCATCCATCCATCCATTCATTCATACATTCATACATCCAGAAATGACGGGTTAATAAACGCAATTCTCCAGAATGGAAATTGCGCTAAAAACAAGCCACCAGAATTGACGTTTAAGTTGGGGGGTTGGGGGGGGGGGGGGGGGGGGGGAGGGAGGGGGGTGGGAAGGGGCGCGACTAGTAAGTTATTATGCTAACAACTCTTAACCAATCGCCCAAACCACGAGTTATGTTTAAAATTATTATTATTATTATTATTATTATTATCATTATTATTAAAAATATTATTATTTTATTTTTTAACATTTAAGTTATTTTTTAATCAGAAAACCACAATTAGAATGCGAAAATGCAAAAAACGACTGTCTGATAAGACCCCCCCCCCCCCCCCAAACCCCTTTACGAGATATAATTGTTTATTTGTAATCTTGTTTCCTTTTGTAAGCGTTATTTTAATTGACACTATCCTGAAAGAAAAAGTGTTTGATGTGTCGTATTGGTTGCCCATTAACGAGTGCCGGACGTGGTTGCACGATAGCCGGCAGCCGGGTCCGGCGAGAATGTTTGCTACTGTTGCCGGACGGGCGTCTGGGCGTACAGGGGAGACAATCGTCTGATTGTTGACACAGACGTGATGTATCTCTCCCATCTAGTCTTGCTGTGCGCATGCGCCGTGCCCTATCCATCTGGTTTCCGGTGGGCTTAGATTCGGGTACGCTCCGTCTTAGCGAACGTTTGATAATAAGGTACACACGGATTAACTGTATCTCTTTTCATTCGTTTATTACAGGGTTTTTTTTAATAAACACTTTAAAAAAATAACTCAAAGAGAAACTAGTGATAGATACGACAGTTAGATCTAAGGGAAGATACTACAATTTAGCTACAGTCAAGGGAGGTCACTACAATTTAGCTACAGTCAAGGGATGTCACTATACTACAGCTAGATACAAGGGAGGTCATTAGAATTTAGAGTCCAGCGAGGTAACTCAGTCGCAACATTTTGATACATAGCGTCACCAGATGAGCACAAAAAGCGAGTGTGCAGCGAGTGTTTCAGTCTGTCGGAGGGAGGGCAGGTGATCTAGATCTGCCTGCAATGTTTCGGAGGGAGGGAAGGTGATCTAGATCTGCCTTGCAATGTTTCGGAGGGAGGGAAGGTGATCTAGATCTGCCTTGCAATGTTTCGGAGGGAGGGAAGGTGATCTAGATCTGCCTGCAATGTTTCGGAGGGAGGGCAGGTGATCTAGATCTGCAATGTTTCGGAGGGAGGGAAGGTGATCTAGATCTGCCTGCAATGTTTCGGAGGGAGGGAAGGTGATCTAGATCTGCCTGCAATGTTTCGGAGGGAGGGAAGGTGATCTAGATCTGCCTGCAATGTTTCGGAGGGAAGGAAGGCGATCTAGATCTGCCTGCAATGTTTCGGAGGGAGGGAAGGTGATCTAGATCTGCCTGCAATGTTTCGGAGGGAGGGAAGGTGATCTAGATCTGCCTGCAATGTTTCGGAGGGAAGGAAGGTGATCTAGATCTGCAATGTTTCGGAGGGAAGGAAGGCGATCTAGATCTGCCTGCAATGTTTCGGAGGGAAGGAAGGTGATCTAGATCTGCAATGTTTCGGAGGGAAGGAAGGCGATCTAGATCTGCCTGCAATGTTTCGGAGGGAGGGAAGGTGATCTAGATCTGCCTGCAATGTTTCGGAGGGAGGGAAGGTGATCTAGATCTGCCTGCAATGTTTCGGAGGGAAGGAAGGTGATCTAGATCTGCAATGTTTCGGAGGGAAGGAAGGCGATCTAGATCTGCCTGCAATGTTTCGGAGGGAAGGAAGGTGATCTAGATCTGCAATGTTTCGGAGGGAAGGAAGGCGATCTAGATCTGCCTGCAATGTTTCGGAGGGAGGGAAGGTGATCTAGATCTGCCTGCAATGTTTCGGAGGGAGGGAAGGTGATCTAGATCTGCCTGCAATGTTTCGGAGGGAAGGAAGGTGATCTAGATCTGCAATGTTTCGGAGGGAAGGAAGGCGATCTAGATCTGCCTGCAATGTTTCGGAGGGAAGGAAGGTGATCTAGATCTGCAATGTTTCGGAGGGAAGGAAGGTGATCTAGATCTGCAATGTTTCGGAGGGAGGGAAGGTGATCTAGATCTGCCTGCAATGTTTCGGAGGGAGGGCAGGTGATCTAGATCTGCCTGCAATGTTACGTCTCCCACACCTGGCCTTTACGGCTGTGTTAACACTGATCCTAACACTGATCCTAACACTGATCCTAACACTGATCCTAACACTGATCCTAACACTGATCCTAACACTGATCCTAACACTGATCCTAACACTGATCCTAACACTGATCCTAACACTGATCCTAACACTGATCCTAACACTGATCCTAACACTGATCCTAACACTGATCCTAACACTGATCCTAACACTGATCCTAACACTGATCCTAACACCCGTGGCTTAAGATTTAATTTGCTAGAGATCAACTGCAAGCCTCGCCCTGAGCTGGAGGTGAAATGTCATCTGTCACTGACACGGCACACCGGTGTAGGCAATAACAATGGTAGACCACCCCGACAAATGTAGCCGCCGTACAACAAAACTAAGCCGCCGTACAACAAAACTAACCAATCAACAACATTCATGTACCGCCTAAAAAAACAACCATGTTTAGAGACAGAATCCAAGAATGACGGAAGCCACGAGTCACGTCCATGGCTGTACAAAATGGCTGCAGCCAGCCAACATCACATGGAGGGTCACACTGTGGACGGGTCATGACGCGGGTCACAACACGGGTCACATAGTCAGCGGGTCTCCCCTACCCCTATAGCTTGTGTCTTCAGATTAATTCAGTTTTCCGTGTCCAACGTACCGGAAATATTTCTTAAGCTTTCGGTTATTTGCCGGGACAAGCAGTGGCCGGTAGTTTCCGGTCAACCGGCTGTTCTGGTCCGGTTCTAGGGGCGGCGCCCTGTTACCGCTTCCGGTTGAGTGCCGATTCCACAGAGCCACGGTAGCGACATACAAGCCGCCACAAGCCCGGCATCCATCAGCACTCGTTGATTGCGTCCCCTTTGTCTGGCGGTATTGTTTCCCTTGTATGTGGGACAACAAGCCGACACTTGTTTTCGGTCAAATAAACGGAGGAAGAATACAGGAGTAACCAGAAGTTTAAGCTGACTCAACCGTTAGAGGACAACTTGAGATAACTGACCAGAGGATAGGAGACAACTGACCAGAGGATAGGAGACAACTGACCAGAGGATAGGAGACAACTGACCAGAGGATAGGAGACAACTGACCAGAGGATAGGAGACAACTGACCAGAGGATAGGAGACAACTGACCAGAGGATAGGAGACAACTGACCAGAGGATAGGAGACAACTGACCAGAGGATAGGAGACAACTGACCAGAGGATAGGACACCTTGAGACAACTGACCAGAGGATAGGACAATTCATGAATATAATGTCCCATAAATGGCATGCTCCCTATGTGTCATGACCCCTAAATGTCAAGTCTCCTGAATGTCATGTCCCATGAATGTCATGTCCCCTGGATGTCATGTCCCCTGGATGTCATGTCCCATGGATGTCATGTCCCCTGGATGTCATGTCCCATGAATGTCATGTCCTATGGATGTCATGTATCCTGGATGTCATGTCCCCTGAATGTCATGCCCTATCTATACAAGTGTGCAAAAACTACGAGTCAACTTTAATCACTGCTAGACAGTGTTTGTTTTGAAACCTCAAGCTAACAAAATATCCTTCAATCCCTGTACAGGCTCACTCCTCCCGTCAGCCCCCCACCCCACGGGTGACACTGTTTCAGGGTGATGTATCACCCAGTCGAGGAGCCCAATCAGGTTTTAATCTGGTGTCCCCCCCCCCCCTCGCCCCTCCCCCACGTGTGCTGGAGAAACGTTTGAAGTTAACTAAAAGAAAACAGACCACCTCTCTAGGCCACCACAGGAACCCCCCGCGCCAGGCAGGAATAAGCCTATATTTAATGACTGTTGTTTTTACATAACTTCAAAAGTAACCCAAAATTGTCGGCCTGTAATACTTCTCTCCCTTGGGCAATATTCAAACAAGTTATCCCCCTGTGTGAAAAAAAGGATGGATTATAACGATAAGCGCTTGTTATCTTACAATTTGTTACCCATTTGGTTAGCAGACGATGGTCTACGTCTGCCGGGAATTGTGTGCAGCCGTTGATTGAAATCGCTTCCGTTGTATTCAGGTGTCGACCCCGTCATTTGGACAAAAAACAAACACGACGCATCACGTGACTAAACACCTTGGCCTTTCCCACCCCACACCCCGGGGGGAGGAGATCTACAAGGTGGCCATGTTGTGACGTCACAAGAAACGTTACCCCAACTGTTTGTGGCTGGGGTATGGAGTAGAGCGAGTTGTGAAGCTCCAGGTCATATGTTGTAAAAAAAAAAAAAAAGCTACCCGTTTAAAAAAAAAACATGTAAGAATGCATCAAGAAAGCCGCCATTAATCAAATCGTGGGACATGCAGGGTGCAGCAACTGCTGGCATCAGATTTCACACACCTGCATGTCTGTCTTCTCTCTCACAGACACACTCACACACTACACCCACACTCACACACACTACATACACCACACACACATTCACTCAAACACACACTCACACACTACACCCACACTCACCCACACTCACACACACACACCACACACACATTCACTCAAACACACACTCACACACTACACCCACACCCACACTCACACACTACACCCACACTCACACACACCAACACACACCACACACACATTCACTCAAACACACACTCACATACTACACCCACATTCACACACACCACACACACACTCACACATTACACTCACACACATCACACACACACTACACCCACACTCACATACACCATACACACACCACACACACATTCACTCAAACACATCACACTCACACACTACATCCACACTCACACATTCCACACACACTACACACACTACACACACTCACTCTCACACACCACACACACACTCACAAATTACACTCACACACATTCACTCTCACACACTACACTCATATACTACACTCACACTCACACACACTCACACATTACACTCAAACACATCACACACACCACACACACACTCTCACACACCATACTAACACACTACACATACCCAAACCACACACACACACCATACACACACTCACTCACACACACTACACACACTAACACATTACACTCAAACACATCACACACACTAACATACTACACCCACACTTACACTCACACAGACACTCACACATTACACTCACACACACCACACACCACACACATACTCACACACACCAAACACACACATACGCACACCGCACAATCGCAAATATATATATTAAAAACGAAACCGAATTTCCCAAACACAAACATACGTAAAAATTCAAACACACAAATGCACATTCGCATGCACACAAATTATACAGTTACAGATATAGTATTACTCAGTAAATGTAATTATTCATGATTTCAAAAATTGTAAAGTGTAGACATGCAGCTGTTTTAATTCCGGCTACAATTGTTAGACCAATCTTTGCTTATTAAAAAAATAAAGTAATGCAATATTGTTTTTTAAAGCGACACGATTTAGTTTTTTTTTTAATTTAATTTTTTTAAGAATGTTTGCATACTACAAACTCCGTGTACTATAAGGGGTAAAGCCGCGAAGGCTCTATGAAAATCTTTTAAAATCGTGAACGGTGGGATAAAAAATAAATGACTGTGTTTTACTGTGTTTTAATGAGTAATTTCGGCGACTAAATCAAATGTTTTAAAAACCAAATTAAATTTTTTCTCTCATGTTCTCACCGTCACAAAACATGGCGAGCCGAGGTCACATGGTTTGAACAGTAAAATTTAATTTATTTTTCAAAGGTTTTTCTGTGTAAACTACTACAATAAGGGGATTGAGATCACTGTTTTCTGTGTAAACTACTACAATAAGGGGATTGAGATCACTGAGTTTTGATACAGCCAATCAAAGTTTGTCTAACTTAAAAGATAATTCGGCGTACGTTTTTGGCTTGATAAAAATAAATAGAAATGTAGCCTTATTAAACGTAAAAAACTCTCAATTTATCTGCATTCGTGACGTTATAGCATTGGTTGTTTAAAATATTACATTTCTGAATTTAGTTCAGCCCCCCCCCCCCCCCCCCCCGATGAAGACAAAAGCACATGTTTGTTCCGACAACAATAAACATGGGGGGGGGGGGGGGGGGAATCGCATCAATCTCGGTGTTTCTTTCTGGCATCTCTCTGAAGCGACACTGTCCCCACCCCCCACACCCGAGTGAGGATCGCCTCCACCTGCGCCCCCCCCCCCCACTCCAAAAAAAGAAGAAATATTTTATATAAAAAAAACTTAAAAGGTCCGCTACCCTCCGAGTTACAAGTGCCCCCCCCCCCCCCCCCCCATCCCCACCCTGGCGAAAAGTGTCTGAAAGAAACCCTCTATAAAGTTTGGGCCACTCAACATTGGCCATCAAACATGGCAGACATAGTGCAACAAACTGGCCAGAGCAGACGATGACAGCGGCCTTCGTTTGACGATAACACCGCCGATTACCGGCCCTGTGTAATCGCAGAGATCACGGATCGAATCCACTCTTCACCGCGGCTCACGGTATCGGCGCACAGGTATCGGTGTTTGATCAGTAATAAAATAAAACGATTCCCGTGTTGTGTGTGTGTGTGGGGGGGGGGGGGCTCAAGGAGCTGGAGATGGCGAGATACAGTTGACGAGGAAACCTTGGCGATAAATCAACTCGGGAGCTTTGAACAGTTCCAGCCCTCGCCACATCCAGATATACAGCACCTGATGGTATCCACTTATCCATCCAGCCCTCCCCACACACAGTATACAGCACCTTATGTTATCCACTTATCCACTTATCCACATCCAAGCTGTGACATCACCCATCGTACCGTCAGCCTATGGTTAGTATCTGACTGAAGGCTTCAAGACTTCCATTCTCTCACACCTTAGAAACTTCTGGTTAGTATCTGTAGGCTTCAAGACTTCCATTCTCTCCCACCTTAGAAACTTCTAGTTTACATACACATATCTGTATTTATATATGAGGTTCTTGAAGGGGACCTCTTTGGGACTACCCCCCCCCCCCCCCCGCGCCAAGTCATGCCTTACAGCTCGTCACAAAAGGTTCGTCACATAAGGTTCGTTACATAAGGTTCGTCTCATAAGGTTCGTCACATAAGGTTCGTCACATAAGGTTCGTCACATAAGGTTCGTCTCATAAGGCTCGTCACATAAGGTTCGTCACATAAGGTTCGTCACATAAGGCTCGTTACAAGAACCAAGTGAGGTTCGTCAGGTGAACTACAAGCACTGGTCACGTGAACAGCCCTCGTAAGACGCGTCTCGCCTTTTGAGTGCTCACCCAGCCATGTCCGGGTCCCATCAATCTTATCCCCCAACTCGAAACTTTCTTAACTTTTAACCTCCTTTCATCCACAACAAAATTCTTATTTATTTAGTTCCTTGGATCTCGGGGAACCGAAGTTCCCACGACGTTCCCCTGGCTCAGCCATGAGCCTCGATGTGAACGCTAGCTGGTCGCCCAGCCAGCCAGCCGAGCGTGACTGCAGCTAACTAATCGCGATCAATGAAACAAACATTAGCTGCCGTGTCGGAGTCGGGGGGGTAGATCGTACCCTCGTGCTCTGGTAGTTCTGTGAAGGTTGCAAGTCTGGAGGGTCGTAAAGTGGAGTGGATACACTTAGGCCATCACCTGGGGTCGGGGGGTGCGTCGCGCGTCATTTGTACGTTTGATTCGAACGATCAGTGAGGTTCGGGGTTGTTAACTTTACACCGCCTAACCTGTGTGACGTCACTCTGTCTAATTTACTTGTAGGTAAAGAGGAGACATTTGTGTGTCTGTTAGACCAACGATGCCCAACAACCCCCACCCCACGCTAAAAGGTTGGTTAGTGTATCACGTGATGACAGGTAAACTTGTGGGCACCGTCAGGTGTGTCGCATGATGTGGCGACACCTGCAACTTTAGGTGATGTGTGTCGCATGATGAGAAGACACCGTCAGCTTTACGTGATGTGTGTCGCATGATGTGAAGACACCGTCAGCTTTACGTGGTGTGTGTCGCATGATGAGAAGACACCGTCAGCTTTACGTGATGCTAGCAATCTCGCATGAGTCACGTACGATTCACGTGCTACCAGAAATATCTTTATCTCTCAAGATTTTTTTTCGACTTATCCTTTGGTTATTAAGTCAAATTACCTTCTTAACTAACTAAACTTTCTTATTTTCAGATTTCGTTTTCAAGTGTTGAAGTCAACAATGAACACCAACCAAAAAAACCTAAAACCAAACCACAAAACCAAAATCCCAACCACAGAACCTAAAACCCAACCACAAAACCTAAAACCCAACCACAAAACCTAAAACCCAACCACAGAACCTAAAACCAAACCACAAAACCTAAAACCCAACCACAGAACCTAAAACCCAACCCCAAATGGCTGCCTGATGAAAGAAACAAAAGCCTCTCTTACCGTGGACATCCTGGTCGTCTCTAGAATGTGGCCGGCAGAGGGGGGACCGGCAGCGTGGGGAGCCTTCCCTGTGACCCTGCATGGTCTCACTCAGCGTGGGTCCCTGTTGCTGTCCCAGCGACTGTCCCAGCGACTGTCCCAGCGACTGTCCCAGCGACTGTCCGTGTGACTGTCCGAGCGACTGTCCGTGTGACTGTCCGTTGCTGTCCGACTTGCGATCCCCGACTGTGGGGTTCGTGGATCCCTGTTGCTGCAGGAAGGTCTTGGCCTCCGGGAAAAAGTCGACGGTCTCCGGGTTCATCTGGAGCAGGCCGTTGGGGCCGTACAGGAGACCCAACTCCCGGGCCTCGTTCTCCTCCTGGGCCTGTTGCCGCCTGAGCGCCACCTGGGCCGCCATGACCCGCTGACGTTCTGCGATGAGTGTACACTTGGCACACACACAGTCCCGCCACCGACAGTAGCGCTTGTGTCCCTTCAGCGCCGACACGACGCCGTGGTTCCGGCACCGGGCGCACTTGGGCGTCCTGGGGTACCGGTCGGACGCCCGGACAAACATGTTTGACCCGTCTACAGCCGGCCCTCCGGCGTCCGGTCTTCCCTTCTCTTCATCGGAAGACGACATAGTTGAAGAAATCCAACTGAAAAACCGCACCAAAAAGTACCAAACGCGATGCTCTAGTAACGAAGTATTAGCAACCTAGGTCTAGCAGGCAAGTATCTCTCCAGTAACAAAGTATCTGCAAGCAAGTAGGACGTCAGAAGTTACAGCCAGGATCTAAGTGAAGACTCCGGTCGTTGGGTCATGATAGTGGTAGAATCAAGCAGCCGACACAGGCAATGTGTCCGTTAGAGCCACAAGCAGACGACAGCGCCACCAGAGAGCGAATGTTGGCTGTCGACAACGTAATAAAAGCTGGCAGAACTACAGCAACAAATCTGGGGACGCTGTGGTTACATGTATGGGGGACGTCCTCACACCTCCGGCTTTTGTCGGCTGTCCAAATGTCGCACCTCCCTGGCCCCGCCCCCGTGTCGTGGCAACAGTCGGGTCGAGTTGACGGCCGTGTATCGATTTGTCCTCGCCAGCCACTGGCGCGGACGTCTGGAGGACAGTCGCGCGCTCGCTTGTTTACTCGTCGCTGATTGGTCGTTTTTTCCTTGTATCATTTGACGCCTTGGCCTATGTATCGAGTGACGCTTGTATCGAGCGGGTTGACGGGGCGGGCGTGGGGGCGGGGCTTAAGCTGTTGGTTTAGTCATGTGACATATGTATCCCAAATATCCGCTTTGTGACAAGTGACAAGCTTTGACGTCAAACAAATGGAAATCTAATATCCCCGTCACTACACACATACAGATATGACGTCATAGACAACAAGCGCTAGCAGCCATCACTACACAGAAGACAACAAGAAAACTTGTGCAGACGAGACCAATCAAATGTTGAGTGTAGCTTTGATTTCTCCGGATTTAGATTACAGTAGCTGGCATTAGAAACTTTGTTGTCGGTAGAGTTCATCAGTAGCAGGGTACCGTTTTAGGGTACAAGTTTAATGTAGAGTTATTGGTACAATCGTAGGTACAGTTTTAGGGAACAAGTTTAATGTAGAGTTATTGGTACAATCGTAGGTACAGTTTTAAGTTTTAGGGTACAAGTTTAATGTAGAGTTATTGGTACAATCGTAGGTACAGTTTTAGGGAACAAGTTTAATGTAGAGTTATTGGTACAATCGTATGTACAGTTTTAGGATAGAGTTATTGGCACAGTCGTAGGTACATTCGGTGGTACGGTTTTAGAATACAGTTCTGGTACAATTTTAGGTTACAAATTTTGATTTTTTAAACTTCACACATATAAAGTCAACATTTATAAATATAAAGTCAAAATTCACACATATAAGATCAACATTCACACATATAAAGTCAACATTCACACATATAAAGTCAACATTCACACATATAACGTCAACATTTACACATATAACGTCAACATTCACACATATAAAGTCAACATTCACACATATAACGTCAACATTCACACATATAACGTCAACATTCACACATATAAAGTCAACATTCACACATATAACGTCAACATTCACACATGTAACGTCAACATTCACACATATAAAGTCAACATTCACAAAGAGTCAGTTAACATCCACACAAAAACTGTCAACATTCACCAATTCCACATTATTAACCCTAAGTTTTTTTAAATCCCACATGTCAAAATTTAAATAGCAATGTTGCATAGTGTCATCATTGGACCAAAATAACCGCAACAATCGTCTAAATAAAAACCCCGTCACCGACCTCATCTACCCTGAGACATACTGACACATACTGACACATACTGACATATACTGACACATACTGACACATACTGACATATACTGACACATACTGACATATACTGACACATACTGACATATACTGACACATACTGACACATACGGACACATACTGACACATATTGACACATATCGTAACCTAAAGTAACCCTGACTTATCCTATCCTAAAACTAACATAACCCAGCCCATCAAACCTTAACCTAATCTTAATCTAAGTGTTGCTTACTTCAGCCGGCCCTAACCTAACCTAACCTAACCTAACCTAACCTAACCTAACCTAACCTAACCTAACCTAACCTAACCTAACCTAACCTAACCTAACCTAACCTAACCTAACCTAACCTAACCTAACCTAACCTAACCTATATCTCAGTGATGCTTACTTAAATCTTGCCCTAACCCAACCTATCTCATAAGGTCAACAATAGTATAAAACATATAGATTTTAAAAATATTTTGTGTCTGAGACCCAAACATGTCACAAGAAGTAAGCGACATGTGCCCAGTGTAAAACATGTCACTAGAAGTAGGCGACATGTGCCCAGTGTAAAACATGTCACTAGAAGTAGGCGACATGTGCCCAGTGTAAAACATGTCACTAGAAGTAGGCGACATGTGCCCAGTGTAAAACATGTCACAAGAAGTAGGCGACATGTGCCCAGTGTAAAACATGTCACAAGAAGTAGGCGACATGTGCCCAGTGTAAAACATGTCACAAGAAGTAGGCGACATGTGCCCAGTGTAAAACATGTCACTACAAGTAGGCGACATGTGCCCAGTGTAAAACATGTTACAAGAAGTAGGCGACATGTGCCCAGTGTAAAACATGTCACTAGAAGTAGGCGACATGTGCCCAGTGTAAAACATGTCACTAGAAGTAGGCGACATGTGCCCAGTGTAAAACATGTCACTAGAAAAAGGCGACATGTGCCCAGCCTACTGACAGTATTTGTAACGAGCCGACCCGCGGCATATCATACGCCGCTATTTAGTTGTTTTATTTTCTACTTTTCAGTAATTCATAATTTGTGAATTCAACAGTACCAATGCCGCCTCTGAAAATATTTGCTTTAAAACACTATCAGTACGTCGTTAAGAACGATACTACCCCCACCCTCCTTTCCCCCAACCCCAACCCCTACCCTAACCCCCCCCCCCCCCCGTGAAAGCAGCCTCTTCTTAGTTACCTCCCCTAAGTTTAAAATAGTTTCAAACTAAATTATCTGCCCCTAATAGCCGTCACTAAACCCGGCTGCACGAATGTAAACATTTAGCGTGAACCACAGCTCACCAGACCATGTAGAGGTGGGGTTGGCAGGGAGCGCGCTTACAGCTTGTTTTCTAGCGTCTCCAAGAAGAGAATTATACATATAGATACAATATGATAAAAATAAATCTTACACACAAAATACATCTTACACAAAAAATACAGCTTACACACAAAATACATTTTACACACACAAAACACATCTCACACACAAAATACAACTAACACACAAAATACGTCTTTCACACACAAAGTTCGTCTTTCACAAATTTTTAGCTCATTAGAGGTTGTAGTGTAAGGTGGGGGGATTCAATTTTTGTTTAATATACATGGTGATCAGATAAACGAGCAAATAGAAGGCAGCAAAATCAGAAATATGAACTCACAGAAAATACCAAGAGAAATTTCCGCAAACAAAATGAGTAAAGACAAACTTTTGGACAGAAGAATACCTAACCATAACAATGATGCAAGTAAACCTTTATTTATTTATTTTTTTTTTTTGACAGACAATAGTTTGAGACAGTAAACAAAAGCAACACACGCCACAAGCAGTGTTCCCTCTAAGCTGCGCGGCTGCGCGGCCGCGCAGTACTTTCAAATGTGCCGCGCAGACATTTTCTGACCCCGCGCACAGATTATCAGAACGTCGGGCTAGACTGATTCACAAGAAAAAATGTGGCCAGTGGTTTGAATTAAGCGACATTTTTATTGCCTGTTTTGTTAAACGAACAGTCTTTGTGTTTTGATGCATAAACAGAAACCAAGGAGTATCATTGACTTGGGGGGGGGGGGGGGGTGACCTTGGTTGTCATACCACAGGTCCAGTTAATGACTTCACTCTAAACTGAGCGGGGCGGGTACCGATGTGATGTCTGGGTGACCCTCCCTCTGCTTGATTTAATGGTTTACTGACACCTAATACCGGAAAGGGATTGTGGCTACTAGCTGACCATGCAAGGTTTTATTTTCTATTGTCACTGCCCTCCCCCATCTCCCAACCCCCACCCACCTCCTGATACTAAGACGGCTTACCCAAGTCAGATGTAAAATCTACTTTACTAAAGGTGGATGTCTTTTTTTTCTGTTTGGTTTAAGGATTTATATTCTATATATCCAATTCTTGGATTATTACGAGCACCTGGATCGAACTGTTTCAGTATTCACAGACTGGTTAGGTAAATCAGGAATAAATGTCCACTACTGTGTGCTATTTGAAAATGTTGAAAAGAAAAATGTGTGTAACAAGCAGTTCAACAATGTGGCACAAAAAAAAGCGATAGATTCGTTTAAACTGGAATGGCTCAAAGTTAAAGTGAGAACCGAAACGCCATATCAAATAATGTTTCGGTTGAATTAGAAAGCATCTACGAATATTCAGATGAGATTGGACTGAAGTGTAAGTTCTGTGCTGCTACTACTTGTAACAAAACCAACATAAACAACGACTTGGTCACAGGAAAGCTCTGGGAATCATGGGCGCTTGACTACTGTGTAAACGTCAACTATTGTCTCTCGTTTACGTAGGAAATGTTGCGATTTCGTACAACAGCTCACATGGAACTGACCTTAAACGTCTGCTGGTTGAAACTTACATTGAGCGAGGAAAACTAATTGAGCAAAACGAGCGCCAGCGATCAAACGAGGATAAAGTTCGAATCCTAACGGATAATGTTCTTCTTATCGCCTCGATGCTGTCGGTACAACTGATTCATAACCACATGGGGAAGTATGTTTCAATACCAGACAGTTGGCGAAGTAAGAAATACGCCTTTGAGTTTGTTCAAGTAATCAACGAAGTTGTTGTAAAGAACATACTGACAGAACTTCGAGCAGCATCATTCCACACGCTTATAGTTGATGGCATAACAGTACATAAAATGCTAATCCTTTATTTTAAATTTCATCCAGTCAATTCTGTATTCTACAAAACCGTTTTTAGTGGAATAACTCAGCTTACTGTAAGTGATGCCTTAGCTCTGGAGACAGGCGTAACAGCACTACACTGAACATTAAAGCCAAGAAAAGTGTGAGTTAAACGAAAGAATCGACACAAGGCAAACCACACAGTACGTACAATCAGTCTGCGAACATTTAAATGTTAGGTTTCCAGGAGATGAACTGCAGTTTTTGTCATCTTTTTTTATGCTACAGGTTTTAAAAAATGTGCATTTGAGTTCGGCGTCAAAGATATCAAAGAACTGTGCGTAAAGTACAAAGACGGGTTACGTACAACAAATGATCAGTTAATTACCATCCAATACAATGACTTCAAATTTCGATAAAGTGAAAAACTCAAATCTGTTTCTGTAAATTATATGCCTGAATATGCAAGATTTGTCAAAACAAAGAACAAAATTTAGCTCACTGGCAAAGTTAAGTGACATTATTGTACTTTCCAAGCATGCAGTGCTGATTACGAACAAGGTTTTAGCCTTATTAACATAATAAAAGTGCAAGCACGAAATAGACTTGAAGCCACACATTTGGAGAATCTGATGCAAACTAAATTATATCTAAATGCTGGAGAGGATGTAGATTTAAACAAAGCATATAAGGTGTGGAAGCAATGCAAGGCTAGATGCGAGAAATTGCAATAAATGCCCCTGAAACTGAAAGGTTAGCTAATATTTGTTTTTAAGTCAGCTTTAATGTTGCATATGTTAAACTATTGCGTTTGTATTACCGTTATGGTATTAGCATTATTACCATAAGACTGTCTTACTTTAACATAGTAAGTCGACCATATAACTTGTTGTCTAAGTATAACTGAAAGTTTTTATTAGTTTTTTATTTATTTTGATGGTATTCGTATCTCCATTTAATTGCATACGTTTCATAAGTCACACACATTATACTATTAATTTATCAAAATGCATGTCTTCATTATTATGCTTAATTGCAAGACTAAAAATACATATTAACTTGCCCAAGTCATTTTTAGCACCGCGCACACAACATATTTTTTGCACACACACTCTTGGTCCTTAGAGGGAACATTGGCCACAAGTATTGTAAAACTAACACAGTCAACCATGTGACCTAAACAATTCTAAGCCAAATAAGGCGTCATCCATGTATGACTTCCACAAAAAATTCTAAATTTAATATGAGTGCTTTATTAAATGTATGTAGCCTATCTTCACATATGTGACTCCAAATGTTGAAATGTATTTGTCTTCTTATATATGACTCACAATGTTAAAATGTATTTGTCTTCTTATATATGACTCACAATGTTGAAAGGTATTTGTCTTCTTATATATGACTCACAATGTTGAAAGGTATTTGTCTTCTTATATATGACTCAAAATGTTGAAATGTATTTGTCTTCTTATATATGACTCACAATGTTGAAAGGTATTTGTCTTCTTATATATGACTCACAATGTTGAAAGGTATTTGTCTTCTTATATATGACTCAAAATGTTGAAAGGTATTTGTTTTCTTATATATGACTCAAAATGTTGAAATGTATTTGTCTTCTTATATATGACTCACAATGTTGAAAGGTATTTGTCTTCTTATATATGACTCACAATGTTGAAAGGTATTTGTCTTCTTATATATGACTCAAAATGTTGAAAGGTATTTGTCTTCTTATATATGACTCAAAATGTTGAAAGGTATTTGTTTTCTTATATATGACTCAAAATGTTGAAATGTATTTAAATGTTTAATCCTATATAGCGATCCATCCATGTGAATAAAATTCTGACTCAGAATATAAAGGCTACCCATTTAGTTACTTTTAAATTTACTGTGAGTTTGTCTACCATAATTTTAATTAAATTTTCATTGTTTTAACGAAAACTGTTTTTACCTCATGATATATCACCGCTATCGATTTACCTGGAGAATATTTACGATTTCAAAGTTTGTTTGATTTCTATCAAAATGTTTCTCTATTGTGCCCTTTAGTGGGAATGGGCTGTTATTTAGAGGGACCATAGAGATTTTGTTAAAAAGGGAATGTTGTGATTTGTTTTAGAGGGAATGTTGTGATACTTTTTTTTAGAGGGAATGTTATTATCTTGGTTTAGAGAGAATTTTGTGATAATGTTTTAGAGGGAATGTTGTGATAATGTTTTAGAGGGAATGTTGTACACTTATATAAGAGCTTGAAGGAGTTGATTATCAAAACAAGAAATTTCCAGAATTCTCTCCACGTGAGATCAAACGGATGGAATTTCTAGAAACTTAAGACGTTACAAGATACTTCTGAGGGGGGGGGGGGGGGGGGGGTCATTCACCAAACATTACAACATGAGTCAACTGAATGTTGTATGTTGGTTGATCCATCAACTGAATGTTGTATGTTGGCTGATACATCAACTGAATGTTGTATGTTGGTTGATCCATCAACTGAATGTTGTATGTTGTTTGATACATCAACTGAATGTTGTATGTTGGTTGATACATCAACTGAATGTTGTATGTTGGTTGATATATCAACTGAATGTTGTATGTGGGTTGATATATCAACTGAATGTTGTATGTGGGTTGATATATCAACTGAATGTTGTATGTTGGTGTATATATCAACTGAATGTTGTATGTTGGTTGATATATCAACTGAATGTTGTATGTTGGTTGATATATCAACTGAATGTTGTATGTTGGTTGATATATCAACTGAATCTTGTATGTTGGTTGATACATCAACTGAATGTTGTATGTTGGTTGATACATCAACTGAATGTTGTATGTTGGTTGATACATCAACTGAATGTTGTATGTTGGTTGGCTCATGACATGAATGTTGTATGTGGGTTGTTGGTTGGCTCATGACATGAATGTTGAATGTGGGTTGGCTCATGACATGAATGTTGAATGTGGGTTGACTCATGACATGAATGTTGTATGTTGTTTTGTTTAGCTCCCGCTTGTAGCGCCAGAACGAGCTACCAAAGAACTTGCCTGTCCACGTGACAAGTCAGCCGGAAGTTGTCATGTCAACTTATTAAACCGCTTTGGTTTAACACGAGTTTAATATCAATCCTACCCCAGTGTCTGGTGATCGATCACCGCGATCGATTACCCGCGTCAGTATCTCAGCCGTGAGCCAAATTGGTAGCCGATCCATTCAGTGGCCAGTCCCCAGTCAGTGGGGAGGAAATTGAAAAGTTTGGCCAGAAAGAGCCAAAGAATAGTTTTTGATTTGGCCTCCCCTTGCCGGAACGTTGGTAGAAAAAAACCGGCAGAAATGAAACGTCGGGCCTGAAGCGGGCGTGTATCGCCCGATTAGCGCCGGCTGACCGGCAAATTTGGGCGGGATTGACTTGCTATTCCGGCGTGTGGCGACTCCCCGGTAACGGCAGCGACCGGACGATTGCCGGGTGCCGGACATCTTCGTCTCTGGTCGGCGGACAAGGCGGTTTGATTAATTGTACCCGGGACATTTGAAACGCAAGCGTTAATTCGAGAAATCGCATTTCAATATTGTGACTTCCGGTGTACGTCACTTCCGGTGTACGTCACTTCCCGTCCCCATCAGAGCCTGAAGGCTGTAAGAACGCTGGGAGTTAGATCAGGTATCAGAAACATTGGCCAGATTTCCCCAGTCGATGTTTCATTGGTTGAAATATGATCTACAGGCTACAGGTCGCTACATGATAGGTCACTACATGATAGGTCACTACATGATAGGTCACTACAGGTCACTTCATGATAGGTCACTACAGGTCACTTCATGATAGGTCACTACAGGTCACTTTATGATAGGTCACTACAGGTCGCTACATGATAGGTCACTAGATGATAGGTCACTACAGGTCACTACATGATAGGTCACTACATGATAGGTCACTACAGGTCACTACATGATAGGTCACTACATGATAGGTCACTACAGGTCACTACATGATAGGTCAGAACAAGTCATTTCATGATAGGTCACTACAGGTCACTACATGATAGGTCACTACAGGTCACTACATGATAGGTCACTGCAGGTCATTTCATGATAGATCACAACAGGTCACTTCATGATAGGTCACTACATGATAGGTCACTACAGGTCACTACATGATAGGTCACAAAAGGTCACTACATGATAGGTCACAACAGGTCACTACATAATAGGTCACAACATGTCATGTTACATGTCATACAATTGGTGACCCTGTGGCGACACCAGTTGGTGAACCAATTACACGTCTCTCCCACCCCTTTAACAAGCTGACGTCACGCAATCGAGGCAGACGATGACGGGCATATGACGGGCACATCAAAGACGCGGTGCCTCAAGAGGGCAATAACTTTAACGAGAGCTCAGCAGCTGGGGGGGGGGGGGGGTCTATTAGTCTCTAGGAGCAGGTTCAACAGCTCGTCACGGTACGGGCTGCTACACTGGGAGGGGGGGGGGTGTCAGATCATAAGTCTCTGGGGTTGGTCTCTAGGATCAAGTTGGCCTCTAGGATCAGGTTGGCCTCTATGATCAGGTTGGCCTCTAGGATCAGGTTGGCCTCTAGGATCAGGTTGGCCTCTAGCATCAGGTTGGCCTCTATGATCAGGTTGGCCTCTATGATCAGGTTGGCCTCTAGGATCAGGTTGGCCTCTAGGATCAGGTTGGCCTCTAGCATCAGGTTGGCCTCTAGGATCTGGTTGGCCTCTATGATCAGGTTGGCCTCTAGGATCAGGTTGGCCTCTAGCATCAGGTTGGCCTCTAGCATCAGGTTGGCCTCTAGGATCAGGTTGGCCTCTATGATCAGGTTGGCCTCTAGGATCAGGTTGGCCTCTAGCATCAGGTTGGCCTCTAGCATCAGGTTGGCCTCTAGGATCAGGTTGGCCTCTAGGATCAGGTTGGCCAGGTTGGCCTCTATGATCAGGTTGGCCTCTAGGATCAGGTTGGCCAGGTTGGCCTCTAGGATCAGGTTGGCCTCTAGCATCAGGTTGGCCTCTAGGATCAGGTTGGCGTGTGGGTATACAATGATTAAGTCTAAATTGTCCTATAAAAGCATCTTAAGCCATCCATTGTGGCCGAACCCTGGGTCTACTGGCCGGCAAAAAATACGAGATTCAGTGGCCGGCGACATGGGTGAGAAAAATACGAGATTCCATCCTGGTACAGAGACTGTTCTTACGTCCGTTACTGTCCTGATACAGCGACTGTCCTGATACAGCGATTGTCATGATACAGCGATTGTCCTGATACAGCGACTGTCCTGATACAGCGACTGTCCTGATACAGCGACTGTCCTGATACAGCGACTGTCCTGATACAGCGACTGTCCTGATACAGCGATTGTCCTGATACAGCGATTGTCCTGATACAGCGACTGTCCTGATACAGCGATTGTCCTGATACAGCGATTGTCCTGATACAGCGAGTGTCCTGATACAGCGAGTGTCCTGATACAGCGACTGTCCTGATACAGCGAGTGTCCTGATACAGCGAGTGTCCTGATACAGCGACTGTCCTGATACAGCGAGTGTCCTGATACAGCGATTGTCCTGATACAGCGACTGTCCTGATACAGCGACTGTCCTGATACAGCGAGTGTCCTGATACAGCGACTGTCCTGATACAGCGAGTGTCCTGATACAGCGATTGTCCTGATACAGCGACTGTCCTGATACAGCGACTGTCCTGATACAGCGAGTGTCCTGATACAGCGACTGTCCTGATACAGCGACTGTCCTGATACAGCGACTGTCCTGATACAGCGACTGTCCTGATACAGCGACTGTCCTGATACAGCGACTGTCCTGATACAGCGACTGTCCTGATACAGTGACTGTCCTGATACAGTGACTGTCCTGATACAGCGACTGTCCTGATACAGCGAGTGTCCTGATACAGCGAGTGTCCTGATACTCCCTTACTTTCCTGATCCCCCTATTCTGCTACAGTGGCTGATTTGTCTAGATATACGGTCTAACCCCCCCCTAGATATACGGTCTAACCCCCCCCCCCCTAGATATACGGTCTAACCCCCCCCTAGATATACGGTCTAACCCCCCCCCCCCCCCCTAGATATACGGTCTAACCCCCCCCCCTAGATATACGGTCTAACCCCCCCCCTAGATATACGGTCTAACCCCCCCCCCTAGATATACGGTCTAACCCCCCCCCCCCCCCCCTAGATATACGGTCTAAACCCCCCCCCCCCATAAAGTCCTGGAGAAACGGGAATTCCCAGCAACACGATACGACCCGCAACAATGCTGGCCAGGGGACATAAATCACGAGAGACAACTCGTCTGGGTAGGGGTAGGTAAGCCAGGAGAAAACATACGCTCGATTGTGATGTAATCACGGGGGGGGGGGGGTGTCTTGGCCAGGTACTGGTGGTGGTCACCAATAGCGACACAAGACGGGGTGGGGGTAGGCGGTCCGCACCAGGTGACACCATTTAATGGCTGGACCTAAATAAAGCGGGAGTGATCTCACCTAAAATTTCTTGAATGTTCTTGCATAACACTACGGTAGGATGGCAACTGGAGATATAGACATAATTTTAAATCCACTTTTACATACTTAAACTTTTAAATATATAATAGAATCTCGATGAAAAAAAGAATTGCGCACCAAGTGAACAGCAAATAATGTGTGTTAAATAGTTCGGAACATAAGTACTTTATAAATTCATGTGCTTATTTTACAGAAAACGGAGGATTAGATGATTTACTTATATTTGAAATTTCGTCTCTCCATCAGAAGCTATGCAAGTTATAGGATTTAGAAAAACCCGAAAGAAGAAAATTAAATTCCATTTCCGGTTAACGGAAATATCTGAAAAGTTGATACAGAGCTACCAATTTTATCTTATACTTATATTTGAAAACTCATCACCTAGCTGTAACGGCACTCAAGTTATTGTGTTCACAGCTACACACGCTCAGACATACAGACATAATTTTATTGCAAAGCCCAGTTTTTCCGACATGATTAAAAACTAACTGTTAAAAAAAGTCCGTATCAAGTTAAAACAATAACACGGGGCAGGAGTGACTCACAACCGAAAATTCTAAAGTGTTGGAGGGGGCTGATGTGTCTTCCTCACCTTACCATAGTTGCAATCATGTGAATCGGGGAATTATACAGCTAATAGAAAAAATTTGGTGATTCGATTATTCAGGTAAATGCAGAATTTGGTGATTCGATTATTCAGGTAAATACAGAATTTGGTGAGTCGATTCTTCAGGTAAATGCAAAATTTGGTGAGTCGATTATTCAGGTAAATACAAAATTTGGTGATTCGATTATTCAGGTAAATGCAGAATTTGGTGATTCGATTATTCAGGTAAATACTAAATTTGTTGAGTCGATTATTCAGGTAAATACAGATTTTGGTGAGTCGATTCTTCAGGTAAATGCAAAATTTGGTGAGTCGATTATTCAGGTAAATGCAAAATTTGGTGAGTCGATTATTCAGGTAAATACAAAATTTGGTGATTCGATTATTCAGGTAAATGCAGAATTTGGTGATTCGATTATTCAGGTAAATACTAAATTTGGTGAGTCGATTATTCAGGTAAATACAGAATTTGGTGAGTCGATTCTTCAGGTAAATGCAAAATTTGGTGAGTCGATTATTCAGGTAAATGCAAAATTTGGTGAGTCGATTATTCAGGTAAATACAAAATTTGGTGATTCGATTATTCAGGTAAATGCAGAATTTGGTGATTCGATTATTCAGGTAAATACTAAATTTGGTGAGTCGATTATTCAGGTAAATACAGAATTTGGTGAGTCGATTCTTCAGGTAAATGCAAAATTTGGTGAGTCGATTATTCAGGTAAATACAAAATTTGGTGATTCGATTATTCAGGTAAATGCAAAATTTGGTGATTCGATTATTCAGGTAAATACTAAATTTGGTGAGTCGATTATTCAGGTAAATACAGATTTTGGTGAGTCGATTATTCAGGTAAATACAAAATTTGGTGAGTGAATTCTTCAGGTAAATCAAACTGTCGGTGAGTGAATTTGGCGGTGTGAACCATACAATCATATAACCATATAACCACGTGATGTGAACCATATAACCACGTGATGTGAACCCTGGGGTGTGGGGTCAGCAGGCCTACCCCGGATGGGTGTGAACCACTTGACGCCGGCCACGGTGATCACGTGATACCCGTGTTGAGCACATCGATCAGCATGCACGGGTCTACATGGGCCACTTACCCGAGCCCGCCGGCCCACCGAATGGCCCGCCGTTATCAGGCCATCGTCCTGTTTGATGTGACGTGTCAGCCATGTTCCGCTTATCGGAAACACATCGCAGCACGGCAAACATGGGTGAAAAATGGCCGCGCGTCCCTGGCTTGTAATTAGCCCCAATGTTGACGCAGGATTGTATTAATTGTGGCGGGCCCGATGAAATCTGATACTGAATATCGTGCACAGATTTGAAAGCAGGCTATTGACGGCGAAGAATGAGTCTATTGAAGCTGAAGAACGAGTCTATCCAAGACGCTACTACGAGCTGGCTGTGTTGCCCGACTAGTTAGCTGGGACTTAGATCACGTGATTAATTGTATTATCTCCCCTTTAATAATGGCGGAAATCCCGCCCATCAATCATCGGTTCCGGTATGCGTGGTCACGTGGTGCGGTGATACCCAGAGGGTGGGGGAGGGGGAGGACAAATCTGTAGCGGGAAGTGGGGGAGGGGGGCGGTAGTTTCACGACATCTGATGTAGCTGGGAGTTACCTTCTCCACCTGTAGGGCTGGGAAATGTGGAGAAACACAATTTTTTTACAACAATAGACGAGAGATTTAAATGTTGTTAGCTCCTGTATCGGCTACCTTTGGAAATTCTCGTCAGTTCACGCTCGTATGAGTCTCAAGTCTCGTCAGTTCACGCTTATATAAGTCTCAATTCTCGTCAGTTCACGCTCGTATAAGTCTCGTCTCGTCAGTTCACGCCTATATAAGTCTCAAGTCTCGTCAGTTCTCACCCAAATAAGTTTACATGTTTTAAATAACGAAAAACAACAGGACAGCTGGGACGGATTTCATTTATCACAAGCTACGAATGTCCACATGCCCCAGACTACGTACACCTAGACACATGCCCCAGACAACGTACACCTGGACACATGCCCCAGACAACGTACACCTGGACACATGCCCCAGACAACGTACACCTGGACACATGCCCCAGACAACGTACACCTGGACACATGGTCAACGTACACCTGAACACATGGTCAACGTACACCTGGACACATGCCCCAGAACACGTACACCTGGACACATGCCCCAGACAACGTACATCTGGACACATGGTCCAGACAACGTACACCTGGACACATGACCCAGACAACGTACATCTGGACACATGGTCCAGACAACGTACACCTGGACACATGCCCCAGACAACGTACACCTGGACACATGCCCAAGACAACGTACACCTGGACACATGCCCCAGACAACGTACACCTAGACACATGCCCCAGACAACGTACACCTGGACACATGCCCCAGACAACGTACACCTGGACACATGCCCAAGACAACGTACACCTGGACACATGCCCCAGACAACGTACACCTAGACACATGCCCCAGACAACGTACACCTGGACACATGCCCCAGACAACGTACACCTGGACACATGCCTCAGACAACGTACACCTGGACACATGCCCCAGACAACGTACACCTGGACACATGCCCCAGACAACGTACACCTGGACACATGGTCAACGTACACCTGGACACATGGTCAACGTACACCTGGACACATGCCCCAGACAACGTACATCTGGACACATGGTCCAGACAACGTACACCTGGACACATGCCCCAGACAACGTACACCTAGACACATGCCCCAGACAACGTACACCTGGACACATGCCCCAGACAACGTACACCTGGACACATGCCCCAGACAACGTACACCTAGACACATGCCCCAGACAACGTAC